TGGAACCGACTCCATGGTACTTAACAACAACAACAACAAATACTTCCAGAACTTCTTCTAATTTCCTATGTTGTTGTTGTTAAGTGCCGTGGAGTCGGTTTCTGTTCATAGTGACCCTGTATAGGGTTTCCAAGGAGCAGCTTGGTGAGTTTGAATCACCAACCTTGTGGTTACAGACCTTGACGTTGACTGCTTATCCTAGGGTGCCACACCAGGAAAATGTTTTATTTATTTATTTAAGGAAAAGGTTTCATTTAGAAACAACTTTTAGGGCTGGGCTACATTATACCTATTCAACAAGTTTTACTTGTATTCTGTATTAAAGTGCCTGCACGAGAGAATGCAGACAACATTGATAAATGATGATATCTGAACAGGTAGCAATTGTAGTCAATGTCAAGAAAACAAAAATCCTCACCACTGGACCAATAAACAACATTCTTTTCAATGGAGAAAAGATTGAAGTTGTCAAGGACTTCATTCTTCTTGGATCAACTGTCAACACTCATGGAAGCAGCAGTCAAGAGATCAGACGACGTATTGCATTAGGCAAATCTGCTACACAGGAACTTTTTAAAGTGTTGAAGAGCAAAGATGTCAGCTTGAGGACTAAGGTGCGCCTGACCCAAGCCATGGTATTTTCAATAACCTTGTATGGATGCGAAGGCTGGACAGTGAATAAGGAAGATCGTAGAAAAATTGATGCCTTTGAGTTGTGGTGTTGGAGGAGGATACTAAAAGTGTCATGGACTGCCAAAAGAACCAATAGATCTGTTTTGGAAGAAGTGCAGCCAAAGTGCTCCTTGGAGGCCAAGATGGCTAAACTTCGTCTCTCATACTTTGGACATATTGTCAGGAGGGAACAGTCGCTGGAGAAGGATGTCATGCTGCGTAAGGTGGAGGGTCAGAGAAAAAGAGGAAGACCCCCAATGAGATGGATCAGCCAGGTGGCATCATTGATGGCATCAAGTGTGGCAGCGGTAGTGAGGTTGGCCCAGGATCGGACATTGTTTCGTTTTGCTGTGCATGGGGTCGCTGTGAGTCGGTTCCGACTCGATGGTACCTGACAACAACAACAGCAATTGTAGAATAAAATTTCCAAATCTTGATGAGGGTCTCCAGAGGTTAGGAGATGACGGACAATAGTTATTTCAAAACAAAAGATGCTTTTCTTTCTAAGAAATAGTATTAACATTGTTCAGTCAGTAAGCTATATTTTATAGCTTTCTTTAGTTAGGACTAACAGAATATTTATGTGTGCTGTTGTTGTTTTTAGATGTTTGGCGAGTCAGTTCAGACTCATAGCCACCTTGTGTAGGGTTTCCAAGGCGGTAAATCTTAGGGAAGCAGACGTGGTTAGCAGCCCAGTACTTATCCTAGAGTACTACCAATGCTTCATTTATGTGTGTTGTTGTTGTTAAGTGCCATTGAGTCGATTCTGACCCATAGTGAGCCTGTGTATAGGATTTCCAGGGAGCAGCTGGTGAGTTTCAACCACCGACCTTGCAGTTCAAACGGCTTTGCATTCTGGCACATTAACCCACAGCGCCATACCAGGACCCATCTATAATGCATACTAAAATGAAGGCTAGCAGATTTGAAAATTCCGGGCTGTAAGAAGTTTTTGGATGTTCATCTTGCTAATTTATACAGAAGTATTGATTTGCATCCTGTTTCTGATGTGGTTCCTGATTCAGGAAGTAAGAAAAGACACATGGGGAGATAAGCTTCATAGCTGTTGTTATTGTTGTTGTTACATGCCATCAAGTCGGTTCCAACTCATAGTGACCCTGTATAGGGTTTCCAAGGAGCAGCTGATGGGTTTGAACTACTGGCCTTGCCGTTCAAACTGTCTTTACAGTCCAGCGCATAAACCCACAGCACCACACCAGCAGGTGTGTACAAATTCAGCAGGTGTTTAATAATACAATCAAATGGAAACCACAAGCTATTGTGTCTTCACCTGTTAGCAGCAACTATTGTTGCTGGCCAAGTGACTGGAAGAGACCCATATTTGTGCCCATTTCAAAGAGAGGTGACCCAACGGAATCATCTAACAATATCATTAATATCTCATGCAAGCAAAATTTTGCTAAAGATAATTTAAAAATGGCTGTAACCATACATTGACAGAGAACTTCCAGAGGTTCAATCTGGATTCAGAAGAGGATGTGAAACTAGGATATCGCTGTTGACATCAGATGGATCTTGAATGAAAGCAAAGACTGTCAGAAAGATGTTTACCTGTGCTTTATTGACTATGCAAAGACTTTCAATTGTGTGGATCATAACAAACTATAGACAGCATTGCGGTAAAAGAGTATTCTGGAACACTTAATCGTGCTACTGAGGAACCTGTACCTAAACCAAGAGGTAGTTATTCAAACAGAACAAGGGAACATTGAATGGTTTAAAATTAGAAAAGTTGTGTGCCAGGGTTGTATTCTTTCACCATACTTACTCAATATGAGCAAATAATCTGAGAAACTGGATTATATGAAGAAAAACGTGGCATCAGGATTGGAGAAAGACTCACTGACAACCTGCGATATACAGATGATGCAACTTTGCTTGCTGAAAGCCAAGAGGACTTAAAATACCTACTGATGAAGATCAAAGATCACAGTCTTTGGTATGGATTACATCTCAATGTAAAGAAAACAAAATTCTCACCACTGGACCAATAAGCACCATCCATATAAATGGAGAAAAGATTGAAGTTATCAAAGGCTTCATTTTGCTCGGATCAATCATCAACACTCATGGAAGCAGCAGTCAAGAAATCAAATGACAATTGCATTAGGCAAATCTGCTGCACAAACCACCTCTTTAAAGTGTTGAAGAGCAAAAGTGTCAGTTTGAGGACTAAGGAGTGCCTGACCAAAGCCATGGCGTTTTCATTAGCCTCATATGCATGCAAAAGTTGGGACAGTGAATAAGGAAGGCTGTAGAAGAAATGATGCATTTGAGCTATGGTGGTGGTTGAGAATATTGAAAGTGTCATGGACTGCCAAAAGAGCAAACCAATCTGTGTTGGAAGCAGTGCTGTCAGAATGCTCCCTGGAAACTAGGATGGCAAGACTCGTCTCTCATACTTTGGTCTCTCATACTTTGGACATATTGTCGGGAGGGACCAGTCCCTGGAAAAGGATATTATGTTTGGTAAAATGGAGGGTCAGAGAGAAAGAGGAAAACCCTCAATGAGATGGATTGACACAGTGGCAACAGTAATGGGCTCAAATGTAGCAATAATTGTTAGGTTGACACAGGACTGGGCAGTGTTTCGTTCTATTGTGCATAGGGTCGCTATGAGTCAGTACCAACTCGATGGCACCTAATAACAACAACATTGTTCAGTAAAGGAGCTCTGGTAGCATAGTGACTTACTTACGAACTGGGTTGCTAACTGTACCAACGCTTCATGGGAGAAAGATGAGGCTTTCTGCTCCCTAAAGATTTATAGCCTCAGAAACCGTGTCTAGAGTCACTATGAGTGGGAACCCACTCCACGGCACGTAACCACCACCACCACTATTGCTGACTAAGTCAAAAAGTTAAAATCATTCCCTGTTCTACTTGATGGAATGAAGGATTTCCTGTAGGTGAGGAAAGGAAGCAGAAACACAAATTATCATCTTTTGTGCCTAGTAACTCAATTTATTAGAAATGGGATGGAACAGACATTTCCATGAGTTGAAATAGGAAGTAACTCAAGTTCACATTCTGAAGAACTTATTATCCTATGCTGAGAACTATATTTTTCTAAAGCCCTCTCTTCTTTTCTACACAGGCTTTCAGAATGGAACTCATTTCAAGAACTAGAGAGTTATTTTGAAATATGACCTTGTTTTCCTTCTACTGGATGTGAAATAGTAACAACCTCCATATTTTACTTGGAAGTGAAATAGAGAGCAGTATAAGAGAATGGATACTGAGAATTTTTCAGGGCCTCAGGCTCATCATTGCCCAGGACAAGAGACATCAATGGGGAGAATATGTGAGAGAGTGATTCATACCAGTCTGTGAGCTGGAATCAGAATGTTATCAGTAAACCAGGATTCATAGGTGGCCACTGTTGTTGTTAAGTACTGTTGAGTAGGTTTCTGACTCACAGCAATCCTGTATGGCAGGGGTGGGAACGTCCTGCCCGCGGGCCATATAAGGACCTTGAAATCATTTGGTCTGGCCCTACCAAGGCAACTGCAGTTCCAGCCATCACATTGTTGTTGTTGTTTTGTGCCGTGGAGTTGGTTCCGACTCATAGCGACCCTGTACAGGCTTTCCGAGGCTGTAAATCTTTACAGGAGCAGAAAGCCTCATCTTTCTCCTGCGGAACAGCTGGTGGTTGAAGCTCACCAGCTGCTACTTGGGAACCCTATACAGGGTCACTATGGGTTGGAAACGACTCGACGGCACTTAACAACAACAACAACCCCTGCTGTATAGGGTTTCTGAGGCTTGTAAATTTCTGTGGGAGCAAAAACCCTCGTCTTTCTCCTGTGGCACAGCTGATGGGCTTGAACCGCCAACCCTGTGGTTTGCAGTCTAGTACTTATCCTATGGAGTCACTGTTGTTGTTGTTGTTAAGTGCCGTCAAGTCTGTTCTAACTTATAATGACCCTGTATATGGTTTCTGAGGTTCAAGTCTGTTCCAACTCATAACGACCCTGTATACGGTTTCTGAGGAGTGGCTGGTGGGTTTGAACCGCCACCCTTATGACTCAAACTGACCTTGCGGTCAAGCGCGTTATTTTTCAGTGCCACACCAGGACTCCTAGTTTCTATTTATTAGCGCAGGAAAATAGACTCAGACATTTGTCAAGAACAAGGTTTGAAGGAGGGGGAACACTTTTGATTAATTCCCCAACTGCTTTCTTATGGCTCAAGCATCCCTGGAGAGTTCAGCATGTAACGCCTCCACTGGTTAATGTATAATGACACTACCTCTCCTTTTCCTTTGGAATTAATGCCTAATACTTCTTGCTTTGTATTCCTTGCAGGTGAAAGCCCAGCCTCTGTGGTTCTTAATGCCTCAGCAGGATTATTTCCACTAAAGATGGAAACACTGGAGTCTGAATTGACCTGTCCAATCTGCCTAGAGTTGTTTGAGGACCCCCTTCTGCTCCCGTGTGCTCATAGCCTTTGCTTCAGCTGTGCTCATCGAATTTTGGTCTCGAGCTGCAGCTCTGGCGAATCCATTGAACCCATTACTGCTTTCCAGTGTCCTACGTGCCGGTATGTTATCTCGCTGAACCACCGGGGTCTGGACGGCCTCAAGAGGAATGTGACCCTGCAGAACATTATTGACCGTTTCCAGAAGGCTTCAGTAAGTGGGCCCAACTCCCCAAGCGAGAGCCGCCGGGAGAGAACTTACAGGCCCAGCACCACCATGTCTAGCGAGCGAATTGCTTGCCAATTCTGTGAGCAGGACCCACCACGGGATGCAGTGAAAACATGTATCACCTGTGAGGTCTCCTACTGTGACCGTTGCCTACGGGCCACGCACCCCAACAAGAAACCTTTCACCAGCCACCGCCTGGTCGAACCAGTGCCAGACACACATCTCCGAGGGATCACCTGCCTGGACCATGAGAATGAGAAAGTGAACATGTACTGTGTATCTGATGACCAATTGATCTGTGCCTTATGCAAACTGGTGGGGCGTCACCGAGACCACCAGGTCGCCTCCCTGAACGATCGATTTGAAAAACTCAAGGTAAGGGTTTCTGGGAAATAATCCCTTGCACCACAGCTTTGTATCTGTAGACGCAGTTAGACTGTTAGAAGGCGTCCCGGTGTGGCGCTGTAGGATCTCCACTGGAATGCTAACTGCAAGGTCGGTGGTTTAGACCTATCAGCCACTCCTTGGAATCGCTACACAGGGTCACTATGAGTCGGAACCGTCTCAATGGCACTTAACAAAACAACAGACAGAAAGTTCCCTACTAAAATGGGTCACTTTTCCTATATGGCAAGTGAGTTTAATGGCAAGGTGTTTTCATGAGGAATAACCTACACCTCTGCAAACTCTCGCTACAACCTGTTAATCTGTTGCACTAACTTGCTTGCATTTATACACTTCTGGCCAGTTCTGGGGGGCATGTGAGGCCATAGTCCACCAGATCAGTAGTCAGTACCAGGAAATAGCCTCTCTCTCTTTTGTCAGTGACATATTACACAGTACATATCTTTGCTATAATCTTTCCACCTCTTCTTTTAAGTATGGGAGTACCTGTGTAGGTGTACTACAATTAGCATATGTGCTGATTTGCATATGCCTGTGTATAGCAATGGGAAGGTTGGGTGTGTCACCGTGTAGGTGTGGGTGGAGGTGTCTGAGTGTATGTAGGTGAGCAATTTTTGTGGAGGATATTAGTTTGTGTGTGTATACTGGAAACATTAAAGAAACAAAGGCTTGGGGTTGTCCACTATAAATTTCCATAAGCACTTAACCAAAAAACCCATTGCCCACCATCCAAAAGATTCCGATCTATAGCAATCCTGTAGGCCAGAGTAGAACTACCTCATGGTTTCCAAGGCTGTAAATCTTTAGGAAAGTAGACTGCCTCATCTTTCTCCTAAGGAATGGCAGGGCAGGTGGGTTTGAACCACCGACCTTTTGTTTAGCAGCCAACTGCTTAACCACTATGTCCCCAGAGCTCCTCATAAGCACTCAACAGGGAGTTAATTTTCAACCTGCCTTAAAAACAAAACCAAATAGGAACATGAGTGTACCAGAAAGTCAGGAGAGACAATCAAGGACTTGAACTGAAAATTGCAAATTGAAGATAATAAATATTCAATTCAGTTTAACATTGTGTGCCAGTATTCATTTTTGTGGGTTAGACACTGAAGCACTTGTTTACAATCTCTGCCTTGGAAGTCTTTTATGTGTGTTCAAGGGACAGAGTGGTGTTTTGTTTTTTGTTGCTGTTTTGCATGAGAATGAAAATGAATTTTGTTGAGTTACATCCATCCCTCTTTAAAAGGAGCTTTGGTGGTGCAGTGGTTAAGGGCATGGTTGCTAACCAAAAGGTTGGCAGTTTGAACTCATCAGCTACTCCCCAGAAGAAAGATGTGGCAGTCTGCTTCTTTAAAGATTGTTGTTAAGTGCCATCGACTTGGTTCCGACCCATAGCGACCCTGTACAGGGTTTCCAAAGGTGTAAATCTTTACGGGAGTAGAAAACCTGATCTTTCTCCCGCGGAGCAGCTGGTAGTTTCGAACCGCTGACCTTAAGGTTCGCAGCCCGATTCGTAACCACTACGCTACCAGAGCTCCTCCTCGGAAACTTTATGGGCCAATTCTACTGTGTCCGTTTTTTGGATGATCAATTGATCTGTGGCCATCTGTTGTTGTCTCATATAATATTTCTATGCAAATCTAAATGCCTATTTTTCAAAACCCTGTTTTACCCTCCCACTGATGTTAGCAAATGTGAGATCCAGCAAATAGTTTTATTTCCATTGCTTATCTGCTATGTGGTATAAATTCTCTTAAGAAGGGGCCTATTTAACAGCGATTCTAGGAAAATAAAATGTCTGAATAATAAGACTACCTTCCAAAAATAGGGCATGAGTATACAGATGAAGCTAGAAGGAAGACCCAGTTAATATGGAAGGGAAGGAAGGACTAGACAAGAGTGAAGATTTTTTTCCTGTCATACTATGGAAAATTCATTGTAAGCTATGAAAAATTATAATGTTGATAATGGTAACAAGACTCAAAATAAGATAACATTTCCCTTCAGTACTTCATTGAAATCAGTGTAGTTTGTTGTTGACTGTGGTCACAGTGACGATAGTCTCTGCCTTTTGAGTTATTATGTACATCTAATATTTATAAATTTTGAACAAAATTTAATGTGGTCTTAAAGTGATGTTGTTGTGAAATGCCATTGAGTCGGTTCTGACCCATAGCGACCCTGTATAGGGTTTCCAAGGAGCAGCTGTGAGCTTGAATGCCGACCTTGTTGTTCAAACAGCTTTGCAAGTCTGGTGCATTAACCCACAGTGATACACCAGGAGTCCAACCCACAGCATCACACCAGAAACCACACCAGGAGTATCACTTAAAGTGATACACTCCTTCATATCATTTTGTTTATTTCATATCAAGGGTCAAAATAAACAAAACAAAACAAAAAAGTGCTCCCCAAACCCAAATCAGTTACCAATGAGTCAATTCCTTCTCTAGAGACCCCAAGTATGCCAGATTAGAATTGCACTCCATAGGGTTTTCATTGACTGTGAGCTTCTGGAAGGGAATTGCCAGAACTTTCTTCCAAAGAACCTGCGGGG